TCACTGCCTTGCCCACCAGCCATACGCAGCCTTGCCACAAGTCCTCTCTGCCCAGCTGCCTGTCTCTGACCCTCCTACTGGTCTGGATGAATGTTTCTTTAACTCCTTGGTTGTTGGACAACCAAGTTTGATTTTCTGTCAGTTCTGGTTGTTTTTTGTTTTTAAATTTGTCGTTGTCCTTCTTTTGGTTGTGTGAGGAGGCACCGTGTGTCTGTCTATGCCTCCATCTTGGCTGGGAGTCCCCAATTAATTGTTTTTTATTTTGAATATAAGTCTTTTGCAAATATTTTCTCCAAATAAGTAGTCCTTTCACTTACTTGATAGTATATTTCTAGCACAGAAAGTTTTTAAAATATTTTTATCCTTTGTTCTTTTTACTATCTTCATCCTTTTCTTTTCATTATTATTATTTTTTATTGTTGTTCAAGTACATTTGTCTCCATTTTCACCACACCACACCCTCTGCCCCACCCTTGATCCTACCCTGTTTGGCTTTGTCCATGTGCCCCTCATACATACATGTTCCTTGTTGACCATTCCTCTATTTTTAAATTTTGTTTTAGTTCACTTTATCTATTTTTCTTTTGTTGTTTGTACTTTGGGGTTATATCCAAGAAACCATTACCTAACCTAAGGGCACAAAGATTTACTCCTGCATTTTCTTTTAAGAGTTTTATAGTTTTAGTTCCTATGTATAATTCTATGAGCCATTTTGAATTAATATTTGTAAAATGGTGTGAATTAGGAGTCCAACTTTATTCTTTTGCATGTGAATATCTATTTGTCCCAGCACCATTTGTTGGAAAAACTATTCTTTTTTTTAAATATATTTTATTGATTATGCTATTACAGTTGTCCCATTTCCCCCCATTCACTCCCCTCCACCCTGCACACCCTCTCCCACCCACATTGCTCCCCTTTAGCTCATGTCCATGTGTCATAAATTCTTTAGCTTCTACATTTCCCATACTATTCTTGCCCTCCCCCTATTTTCTACCTACCATCTATGCTACTTATTCTCCATACCTCTTCCCCCCTCTCCTCCTCCCACTCACCTGTTACCCTCCATGCGATCTCCATTTCTGTGGTTCTGTTCCTGTTCTAGTTGTTTGCTTAGTTTCTTTTTGTTTTTGTTTTAGGTGTGGTTGTTAGTAATTGTGAGTTTGCTGTCATTTTACTATACATGTTTTTTTTATCTTCTTTTTCTTAGATAAGTCCCTTTAACATTTCATAAAATAAGGACTTGGTGATGATAAACTTCTTTAACTTGACCTTATCTGAAAACTATTCTTTGCTTACCAAATTATCTTGGCATCTTTGCTGAACATTATTTAACCGTAGATGTGTGGGTTTATTTCTAGAACATCAATCTATTCCTTTTTTTTTATGTATATCGTTATGCCAGTATCATATTTTCTTGATTACTGTAGCTTTGTAGAAAGTTTTGAAATCAGGAAGTAACTTTATTTATTTATTGCATGATTGCTTTGCCTATTCTGGTTTTTTGCATTTTCACTTGAATTTTAGGATGAACTTTTAAAGTTCTGCTAAAAAGCCAGTTGGGATTTTCATAGAGTTTGCATTGAGTCTGAAATCAAATTGGGGAATATCGCCATTTTTAAATTAATTTTTTGAACCTGTGAATAGGAATATCTTTCATTTATTTTCTTCATTAATGTCTTTTTACAATATTTTGTAGTTTTTAGTTTACAAGTCTTGTATTCTTTTGTTAAATTTATGTGGAGGATACTGGCCAGCAGTATCCATCCCTGCTGCGGATGCTCATCAAAACACGAGAAAAACATACACAGGGACAACCACGTCCTGTGGGGAATTAGGGACAGAACGGCCACTCTCTCTAGTAGAGAACACTCTGAGTCCGCACCTGAGTAGGCTTTTATTAAGAATACAGACACAGTTTGTGGATTACAGTCTGGCAGGGAGGATCAGAAGGAATAGGTAGTTTTCAAAGGGACTGACAGAACTCCTGCTGGGATTCTGGGCAGAGTTTGGGGTTTATCACTTAAAAAGACTACAGGACCTAAAAGGCTAGTTTCGTTTCCTGCCTGTGCCTTCATATTCTAATTCAATAGCATCCTCCAAGAAGCAGATCTCACAGGACCTTGCATATTCTATGTCCCAGGCCTGATTACCCCAGAGGTCCACAGTTTCTGGTCTGGGCTGCACTGCCCCTGTTATTTCCGCAGGCCTGAGTCAGGCAGAGGAGACAAAGGCAGCAGGGAGACTTGGATTTCTCACAACTAAGAACAAGGACTCAGGCTTTGACAAAGCTGAGGGGGCAGGGGTCGATGTCGATTACCCCTTCATTTCTACAGCCCCAAATCTCTTTCCTGAGGCCTCCATGTGAACATGCCTGTCCTAGGCAATCCCCCTGCCCCCGTGGGAAATCTCACCCGTCATTGTCTAACTGATCAAGCATTGGAGGCAAGGCACAGAACAGGCAGCGTTCATGTCAGGGAAATAAGTTTTGTCTCCTTAGTGGCTCCTGGTCCGGAGGTCTCTCACTCAGCCTTAGCCATGGGGGATTACAGCCTCCTGAGACCAGGCAGGGCAGACCCCAACAACAAATTTATACTTTTTTTTTATCCTATTATAGATGGAATTGTTTTAATTTATTCTGGGCTTATTTGCTCATGGATAGAAATACAACTAATTTTTGTATATTGATCTTGTCTTCTGAATCTTGCTAAACTCACTTATAGTTCTAATATGTTTTTAGTTGATTCCTTAGGATTTTTTATAGTCATGTATCATATACCAATGTTTTGATTATTGATAGACCTCATGAGATGATAATGGATTATAAGCAAAAATTTGTTAGCGATGTTGAAGGAAAAACCTGGACCTGACTGAAAGCTGAATTTACTATTAGCTGTAGATGGTTTAAATAGATGAGGAAGTTCAACATAGTGTTTCCTTAAACAATCCTTTTGATTTACGTAAGATCATTACTGATGTAACCTCTCTCCTTCTGATTTTAGTAATTTAAATTTTATCTTTTTTTGTTTGTCTAAAAGTATGTCATGTTTGTTTATCTTTTTGGCTACACTTTCAATTGCAAGGGTTTTTAACTTTTTAATATTGAGCTTCCACCAGCCCTGGGGTATTGCTAGTTGTGAAATGCAAGACAGCCTTGGCAGTGCTTATGTCTTGTGCAGTCATATGTTGCTAAACACATCAAGTCTAAGCTGTTCATTTGCATAGGTGTTGAGAGTATTACTGGCAGTTAGGCATCATAAATTGTATTTACATGCTACAAAATGACTGTGATGTTATTGAATTTAGTAGGTAAGTAACTGTGTTAAGAATAAAAATATCATCTGACTAGAAGCAAATGGATATGAGGAAGTGTTTTTTATATATAAAAGAGAAAGGGAAATGAGTTAAGTTTGAGAGCTATGTGCAGTCTAGTCATAAAGCTTTCTAAAAGGAGTAATGTGTGGATCAAAAACTAATATTCATCATACTTCAGATATTTGAGGCTTCTCTGTAATTCAGAGACATGCTTATGCAGTTGGAACAAACACATGGAGAGTCTGCCCTGAGCCAAGCGCTGTCTGGACCAGCTATTTTCAACCATTTTCCTCCCATGGCACACATACACTAATTACTAAAATGCTGTGGCACGCCTAATATATATTTTTTGCTGATCTGACAAAAAAGTGGTATAATTTTGATTCATTCACACCAGATGGCTATTGTTGTTTTGGCTGTTGTTATTTTTTTTTTATTTGAAAATCTGAGGGAAAAAAATATCAGAACCCCTGACTGAATAGTTAGGTATTGTATGCTTTAAAAATTCTTGTGGCCACAGCACGCTGGTTGAAAATCACTGATCGAGACAGTAAAGAATAAGGCTCACAATTTTTGTCATGAGGGGAAAAATATCTACAAATAAAAATATAGTATAAAGTGTTTAATGCTGTGGCAAAGATAAGTATAGATATAATGAATTTTAAGTAAGATACACTTGGTCTGTTGGGAGCAGAAAGTAATAAGTAAGGAAGTCTTTCCTCAAGGATATGAAGTCTCTTAGTTGACTCACAAAGGATGAGTAAGAGAGAGGTTGAAAAAGAGCTGGGTGAGTAGTAGGGAAAGTATTCAAGGTTGAGGGACTAGCAAAAGTGTGGGTCTGAGAAGCAGCAAGCATGTAAGTTTTCCAAACTTCTGCAAGACTCTTGGATTGACTGGAGCACAAGATTGGAAGTGGCCAGGGAATTAATAGGAATAGAGGGAGAAGATGAATTAAAAAAATGTTCAGTAGATTAAAACTCAGCAGAACCTGGTGACACAGTATAGGGTGTGATGTAAAGGGATGAAATGATATTAACTCCTAGGCCTTTGGTTCAGGCAAAGTCAGGCTGGCATTAGCCCCCAAAATGTCCTTCTTTGAATTAGGAAAAGATGCATTTTCTTCTTGGCAGATGGAAATGGCATGTGTGCAGAACCCAGGATGGGTTTCAGCTTCCATTTGCCCCTTAGCTTGATGGTCTTGTGTAGTCCACAGTATGAACAACTATAAGGGGCAGATATGGGCCAATGAGTGGCCAGCAACGTCATTAGTGCAATCAGGAAGAGAGGGTAGAATTGGGAGGCAGTGAGAGGGGAAATAATGAACTCAGCTTTGAATATATTTAGTTTGTAACATTTAGGGTCATTTCTTCAGGTGGAAATATCAGGGAAGAAGTTGGATATATGATTCTAAAATATTTGGGACTATAAATGGTTTAGGTCTATTAAATTTTTTACAAATTATATATCTATTGTAGTTAGAATTATTCAAAGTGAATGACTTTTTGAATTATAACTTGAATAATACTTGAATAGTACTAGTGGATGGTTTTCCAAATGGTTAGCCTGCTTTACCAGAAAAGTCATTCCAAATAATTTTTCGAAGACTGTCTACCACTGTTTATTAATGTACTGCAGAATGGTCTTGATAAATTTGATTGGTAAAAAAATTATTTTCTCTGTTCCAGATTGCTGGGCTATGCCTTGTATGACTAAGACATCTTACCAAGATTACCTTTGCTTTGACACTTGAGGACAGTCAGACCATGTGAGTATAGAATCTGTACAGGCAAATTGCAGCGAATCCTAATTGGTTAGATCAGCTAAGTAAAAAAACATAAATTTTGTGACAGATAAGACCAAAAGAAATAATGCCTATTTTCTTTGTGATATAAATTCTAGATGAGGTAGAAAATTCATCTCTTTTCCCCATTAACTTAATATTACACTAGGGGCTATAAAATCAACATTGAAATTTTTATGTCAACTCATTTATCAAGGTATTTATGGCAACCAATTATAAGAAGTGTAATTGAAAGCATGTTTTTATTTTTGGTTTTGTTTTTGTACTTCTAAAAGAACAAAAACCTCTGAACTTTTTATGTGGCACTGTTTTGCAGAAAACACTGCTAAGGAGTGCTAAAGCGGCAATGAAACAGCCCAACAGGAAAAGGAAGCTTAGTATGGATTCCAAAGAGCAACAGAATCAGGATGGGTGCTTGGTAAGATGTCAGTTCCAGAACCCTTCCTTGCAGTTTGTGCTCAGGGTGGGAGTTCACACAGTAATTGTATAGTTAGTGTAACCACAATGGAGATGTTTTGTTGAAACTGATTCATTCTGGTTGAGTTTTATGTATAGTGGTATAGAATATAAGTATCATTACAGTGTGGTATATTTTAAAAGTGAAAGGAGGCCTTTTGTTTTAGAAAGATGGAAGTAATTGATCATTGTCAAATAAGGGAAAGAGATTGTGAACTACAGAGGGTTGTATTTATCAGGGTTCTGCAGGGAAACAGAACTGGTAGTAGTTGGGAGTCCTGTCACATTTCCTGTTCACAGTTTCTGTCCCTACTTGGTAATGATGTATTATATGTATGTGTATGTAGGTATACATATTTATGGAGAAAGAGAGAGAGATTGAGATTTATTTCCAAGAATTGACTCATGAAATTGTAGGGGCTGGCATCTGAAATCTACAGGGCAGGTAGGCAGGGTAGAAACCCGGAAAAGAGTTGATGTTGCTGTCTTGATTCCAGAGGCAGTCTGGAGGCAGCATGCCCTCTTCCTCAGGTGGGATCAGTCTTTTATCTCATAAGGCCTTTAACTGATTGGTTGAGGCCTATCCACAGTGTGGAGGGGAACCTGCTCTACTCAGTCTAGTATTTAAATGTTCATTGTATCTAAAAAACACCTCACAGGGGCATTTTGACAGCTAGAGGGTATAGTGTGCATCATGCCTTTAGTTAGCTGTGCTGTGTGCTTGTGACAACTTTTTGTATTCCTACATATTTCAAGGTGGGCAGAAGTGAGCAGGAGAACTCCATGGTGACTGTGTTCAGCTTAGCGGGACATTAGAGCCTTCTCATTGTGTCATGGGTTCTCATTATTCATTTGGGCGTGGGTGTGGGCTTGGGGGACTTCATGTGGATCTTGGTTATACATTCATACATTGCAGTTGGTGAAGTGACACAGTGTTATAAATTCTTTGGTTCAATGCCAGGCTAGGTGTGGTTTGTTGAACTCCACACATTAAATGAGACATGTCGAGTGATGATATGATCCATGTTTGGTTTTAAGATGTTAAATATAGGTCTGTATCAAGCTATAGAGCTGTTTTTCTTCTCACCTCCCTCAGGATCAGCCACACTGGGAGGTGGGGTGGTTAATGTGGGGCTGAGGTCCAGTTCCCCTTGGGATCCAGATTGGTTTAATCTCCTAGACCAGTTCCATGAGAATTTAGTGCTGTAAATGTATCCTGGAGACCTTACCCTCTAAGAGGTTGCTTGGACCAGGCTTTGGGAGTTCTACACCTGTCTCAGGTTTGTGAGGATGCCATTCTTTTCAGTACTTTTGTTTTGCTGTGTCGTGCCCTCTGAAGAAACAGTATTTGATGTGTTCCAAGTTATTTTTAGGTAGTTAATTCTCCAGCAGTGGTCTTCAGACCAGCAGCATCAGCGTCACCTGGGGTTTGTTAGAAATGTAAATCCTTGGGCTTCACTCCAGACTGGGTGAATCAGACTCTGGAGGTGGAGTTTACTAAGCCCTCCTGGTGATTCTGATACATGCTCACGTTTGAGAACACTGTCCTAGGGAAATAGCTAGACACATCTCACCTACTAGTTGTGCTGTAGTTGTAAGTGATAATGGCTGTTGCATATTTATTTTTTTAGTTTAATATTTGAGACCACCTCTTTTTTCCAACATATTTTCTTCCTTTTCTTAGTATTATTTGTCTTTAAATTATTACTGCCCCTTCACAGCACTTCAGTTATTTTGCCTTATGATATGGATATTTAACCTGCTGTATCTTTTGTATTGGCACAAATCCAAATTTTCTCTTATACCCCGACTCAGTTTCTGACTCAATGGTGATGCTTTTATCATTATTTCCATCCCATTTGGGATTTTCCCTTGTTGAACTCCAAAACTGCTCAATACTTACTCAGGCACTGTTTCAGCATTGTGCCTTGCATAGCTGGATTTCTAAAACTATCTGTTGAATGATATTCTCAGTGTTAATGACATCTTCATGTAAATGGGCTTCTTTGATCAATAATAAGAAAATGACTTAAAGGACCATATTACTAAATTGAGCTTTGAGGTCTTTGGAACATATAATTATTCTAAAGGATGTCCACATGAGATGATTGAAAAGATGTAACCCTAGCTGGTGTGGCTCAGTGGATTAAGCACCAGCCTGTGAACCAAAGAGTTGCAGCTTCAATTCCCAGTCAGGGCACATGCCTGGGTTGTGGGCCAGGCCCCCAATAGGGGGTGCATGAGAAGCAACCACACATTTGATGTTTCTCTCCCACTTTCTCCCTCTCTAAAAAACAAATAAATGAAATCTTTTTTAAAAATGTACATTTAGGATGAATTGTGCATTACACTGTCAGTTTGAGGCTCATTGCCAGTTACAGTGTCCTTTTTCATTAGGTAAATTTAATAGTTTAATACAATAAGCAAGTTGACTTCTGTGGCTGCATGCACTGGAGAGAAAGGGGTTCAGTCCTGTTTGAGTTCAGTCACTATAATCATGTTTGAATTTTGATTGAAATGTCAGTAACATCCTTTACTTTCTGTGTTACCCTTGTGATTTTATAAGTGACTTTTTCAGTCAACTAAGCAAAAGAGCATGGCAGATTAAATAAAACATCAAACTAATTAACAATTGGCTGCATTCTAAACATCTGCTTTTGAAACAGTAATTTAATATCTTAGGTATCAAATAATTTTTACATGCTGATCTTAATGTGTGTCAGTGATGTCTTCCTAGACTAATATTTTCTATTTCTTCATAGAATTTCAAAAATATTTATTTATATCTTTCAAAATGGAGGCACATAGTCAAAAATTCAAATAGTACAGACAGGTATTAAAATAAGAATGTAAATTCTTTGTTCCTACTAACACATGTTGCTAACCTCTAAATCTTTTCCTAAAGGTGTGACTACTGTTTATATTTTCTTTTGTACCTATATAGGAATCAAAAACAACAACAAAAGCTAAAAATCCCCTAAGCCCTTTATGCGCATATTCACACATACATCATACACACGTGCATTCAAATTGGTTTACATTCTATTTCTTGTTCCATGTCTTGCTTTTTTTGCACTCAAACATGTGTATCTTGGAGATTGAGATCTTGTCATTGTTTTCAATGGTGCACAGTATTTCCTTCTGTGAATGTATCATAATTTATTTTAAAAATGTGCTACTGTAAACATTTAGGTGATTTTTATTTTTGTTGTTATACACAATATTACAACCAGTGTTCTTTCATATATCTTGGCATACTTTTGTAGTTGGTTCATAGATAAAATTTTACCAGTAGAATTATCCTGAAGAATACGTGCATTTAAAGTTTTGATAAGCCTTTTATATCATCTTCTAAAGAAATCATCCCAATTTATACTTTCTATGACAGCATCTGTGAGAGTGCCTCTTTACCTTAAAACTTGTGACATCTTTGTTTTTTTTTAAACCTACTGAGTGGATGAACTTCCACTTACCACACTCATCTTTAGGGTGCTGCCATAGTCTTGAAGTCAAGTGCTTCCCTGCCCTGTTAGACTTCTTAACATATGCTCTTTCCTGACATCCAAAACAAACACAAGTGTTATTTATGGTGCTGTTTGCCTGCCTTTTCCACCCACCACCTTTAGAATTGACTGGGATGTGATAAGAAGGAAACTAAGCTTTCTGTTTTTTTTTTTCAAGGTGATTTCATAGATGTTTGCTGTGTACCTGGGTGTTCTGGGCATAAAAAGTATATGTAGGCTATAAAATTTCAAATTTCTTAAAATGCAGCTTTCTCAAATAAGAAATTTTATTTGTCTATACAAGTATAGAGTATGTAGTCTCTAACTGTGTATATAAATATCTGATAAGGAAAAAAATGTTAGCTACCATTCTTCCTCTCCTGCTGAATTCCTCAAAATTTATGAATCTTATGTAACTGATGAATTATGAGCTTTGATAAATGGAAATACAAGACATTATATATTGTCTAAAGGGTCTTAGTATTGCTGAATGAAAGAGCAGTAACTTGTCTAGAGTAATGCAGTACAACTAAGTACTTAAGCACATTAGTGCTGTAAGGCACATTCAACCTTCAGAAAAAGGTGGGATCATTTGGGGCTTGTGTCTGACCTTGAATGATAAAAAGTAGGATGTATATGTTTAATGCTTTTATTTATTTAATAAGTAAAATATTTATTTATGTATATTTAATTCTGTTGTAACAAATGACACTTAAATCTAAACTGGCAAAATGTTATATGAGAGAATACAACTTATTTGCATTTTAACATCCAGATGCTCTCTCTAGGCAACTAAACTTGAGAGGTAAGAAAGTTGAAGGGTATAGCAGGGATCATCTGGGCCAAGGAGCAGCAAGAGCAGAGGTATGGGGTTGATAGCAAATATGACACATGTGATATGATGAGATTATAATGACTTGAGCAGATGTTGCTCTTGGCAGTTTTGTAAAATGAGTGTTGGGCTGTGGGATCAGAATATTTGCATTTTAGTTTTTGGCTCTGGTGGTCATTAGTTCTCTGACCAAGGACAAGTCCTTCGCCAAACTGGGGGCTCAGCTTCTTTGGTTGTAGAACAAGACCCTTAGATTAGAAGATATTTAAGGGTCTTTCCATTTCAATAACTCTGAGCTATGGTACACATGAAGTAGTAAGATGACTAGTGTGGATCTGGGTGGTCGAGCTTAGAGGGTCTTAAAGGCAGAGCAGAAGGAGTTATACTTGATATTGTGGCAGCTGTACTTGATAGACTGACAAGATAGGCCATGGTTGCCTTCAACTTGGGCATAGAGTAATGAGATCTATTTCGTAATATTCTTTTTTTATATATTTTTATTTTTTGGATATATTTTATTGTTTATGCTATTTCAGTTGTCCCAATTATTCCCCCTTCACCCCCCTCCACCCAGTATCTCCCATTCCCTTCCGCAGTATCCACCCCCCCTTGGCTCATATCCATGGG